CCCAAATCCCAATAAACCATTCCCAAATCCCAATAAACCATTCCCAAATCCCAATAATCCCAATAAACCATCCCAAATAATCCCAAATCCTCACTTGGGAGCCGTTCCGGCCGATCCTTTCCGCGCTCTCCGGAGCTGCGCCTGCCTCGCCCGCGCTTCATCCTCGGGCCCCGCCCTCCCTTTGTGCTTTTCCGTTTTCTTCCTCTTCCTCTTCTCCCGTTTCCGTTTGGGTTTGGACACGGGGCCCTGCGAGAGCGCGGCCAGCTGCTCGTGCACGGCGCGCAGCTGCGGAGGCAAGGACGGGACAGTGCCGCGAATCCCGGAGCCGCGTTCCCATCCCCGTTTTCCGGGAATTTTTTCCCGCCTTTTTGGATTTTTTTCCCCGTTCTTCCGAATTTTTTTCCCTTTTTTTTCTGATTTTTTGGTGATTTTTTCTGAATTTTTTACTGTTTTTTTTCCCCGTTATTCCCATAATTTTTTCTCCGTTTTTTCTTGAGTATTTTGTAATTTTTTTCCCATTTTTTCCTGACTTTTCCCCATTTTTTCCCATTTCTTCCCCAGTTTTTCCATAATTTTTTCCCCATTTTTTTCCCACTTCTTTCCCAATTTTTCCATAATTTTTTCCCCATTTTCCCCCACTTCTTTCCCAATTTTTCCCTGCTTCTTCATGTTTTTCCCTCTTTTTTAATTTTTTCCTAGTTTTATCCCAATTTTCTTACCATTTTTCCCTATTTTCTTATCCTTTTTTCCAATTTCTCATGATTTTTTCCCTATTTTTTCCTAATTTTTTCCTAATTTTATCCAAACTTTTTTATCATTCTTTCCACTTTTTTCCCACTTCTTCCCTAACTTTTTTGTAGTTTTTTTCCTAATTTTTTCTCATTTTTTTCCCCAACTTTATCCAAAATTTTTCATCATTTTTCCCAATTTTTTCCCACTTCTTCCCTAATTTTTTGTAATATTTTTCCTAATCTTTTTCTCATTTTTCCCCATTTTTTCCCACTTCCTTCCCAATTTTTCCTAATTTTTTTCCAATTACTTTATAATTTCCCCCAATTTTTTCCCCATCTTTTTCCCCATTTTTCCCAATCTTTTTTCCAACCTTTTTTCCAATATTTTCCCCCCATTTTTCCCAATTTTTTTCCCCATTTTTCCTAGTTTTTTCCCAATCTTTTTCCCAATTTTTCCAAATTTTTCCCCCAATTTTTCCCCCAATTTTCCCCCATCTTTCCCCCAATTTTTCCCAACGTTTTCCCATTTTTCCCGATCCTTTCCCCAATTTTCCCCACCTGCTCCTGCAGCTCCGCCAGCCGATTCGCTCTCTCCTCCTCGGAATCCGAGCTCTCCTCGCTCTCCGAGGACGTTTCCGTCGAGCTTTCCTCGTCTTCCTCCTCCTCCTCTTCCTCCTCCTCCTCCTCCTCCTCGCTGGACGATTCCTCGGATGAGGATTTGGGAATGGGAAGCGGAGCCGAGGCCGCGGCGCCGCCGGAATCCTGAGGTTCGTCCGGCATTTTGGCGTAGCTGAACTCGAACACGTCCTGCGGGAATTCCGGGAATTTGGGGAATTCTGGGAATCTGCTCAGATCCCGGGGAAAAATTCCAGCTTTCGACCCCCAAAAATCCCTGGAATTCTGTTGTTTTCCACGGGAAATGGCTTCTGTTCACCTGGATTTGGCATTCCCAGTATTCCCAGTAACCCTAATTCCCAAGTAAATCCCAAAAATCCCTGGAATTCCCTTGTTTTCCATGGAAAAAAGGCTCCTGTTCACCTGGATTTGGCATTCCCAGCATTCCCATTATTCCCAGTAACCCCATTCCCAAATTAATTCCCAAATTTCAAAAAAAATCCCCAGAATCCCTGGAATTCCGTTGTTTTCCATGGAAAAAAGGCTCCTGTTCACCTGGATTTGGCATTCCCAGCATTCCCATTATTCCCAGTAACCCCATTCCCAAATTAATTCCCAAATTTCAAAAAAAATCCCCAGAATCCCTGGAATTCCGTTGTTTTCCATGGAAAAAAGGCTCCTGTTCACCTGGATTTGGCATTCCCAGCATTCCCATTATTCCCAGTAACCCCATTCCCAAATTAATTCCCAAATTTCAAAAAAAATCCCCAGAATCCCTGGAATTCCGTTGTTTTCCATGGAAAAAAGGCTCCTGTTCACCTGGATTTGGCATTCCCAGCATTCCCATTATTCCCAGTAACCCCATTCCCAAATTAATTCCCAAATTTCAAAAAAAATCCCCAGAATCCCTGGAATTCCGTTGTTTTCCATGGAAAAAAGGCTCCTGTTCACCTGGATTTGGCATTCCCAGCATTCCCATTATTCCCAGTAACCCCATTCCCAAATTAATTCCCAAATTTCAAAAAAAATCCCCAGAATCCCTGGAATTCCGTTGTTTTCCATGGAAAAAAGGCTCCTGTTCACCTGGATTTGGCATTCCCAGCATTCCCATTATTCCCAGTAACCCCATTCCCAAATTAATTCCCAAATTTCAAAAAAAATCCCCAGAATCCCTGGAATTCCGTTGTTTTCCATGGAAAAAAGGCTCCTGTTCACCTGGATTTGGCATTCCCAGCATTCCCATTATTCCCAGTAACCCCATTCCCAAATTAATTCCCAAATTTCAAAAAAAATCCCCAGAATCCCTGGAATTCCGTTGTTTTCCATGGAAAAAAGGCTCCTGTTCACCTGGATTTGGCATTCCCAGCATTCCCATTAACAGTAATTCCCAAAAATCCCTGGAATTCCATTGTTTTCCATGGGAAAAAGGATCCTGTTTGCCTGGATTTGGCATTCCCAGTAACCCAGATTCCCAAATTCATTCCCAAATTTCCCAAAAAACCCCAAAATTCCGTCATTTTCCGTGGGAAAAAGCCTCCTATTCCCAATAATAACCCCCAAAATTCCATCGTTTCTTTTTCAGGAATTCATGAAAATATTTTGGGGGATTTTTTTGGAATTTTTTTGGGGATTGCTCCACATTTTTCGGAAATTTTTGTGGGATTTGGGGGGAATTTCAGGGTTTTTAATGGGATTTTTTGGGTATTTTTTGGAATTTTTCAGGAATTTTGGGGATGGATTTTTCTGGAATTTTGTGGACTTCTTAGGAGATTTTCCAGAGATTTTCCAGGAATTCCTAAACAGATTTCAGAAAATTCTTCAGGAATTTTTAGTATTTTTTTTACATTTTTTTGGCATTTTTAGCAGATTTTTTTAGGAATTTCGGGGTGGATTTTTCTGGAATTTTGGGAATTTCTTAAGAGATTTTCCAAGGATTTCCCAAGAATTCCTGGAGAGATTTCAGAAAATTCTTCAGGAATTTCTGGGGTTTTTTAGGGGTTTTTTGCATTTTCAGGAGTTTTTTAAGGGATTTTTTTTTTTTTTTTCCCCTGGGACCGGATGGAATTCTGGGAATTCTGGGAATTCCCACCTGGAGTTTCCTGGCCATGGCCACCACGTCGTGGTCAGGGGGGTTGTACTTGTAGCAGTTGGAAAACATCAACCGGACGTCGGCGGCGAATTCCTGCGCGTCGCGGTATTCCCGGTTCTCCATCTTCCGCTGCCGGGAACAGAGCCGGGAACGTCGGGAAAAGGCGGGAAAAGGGGCACGGAAAGGTCATGGAAGGTTATGGAAGGGTCAGTGGGGTCATGAAAGGTCATGGAA